ATTTTAATACTTAAGGTGTTTAAAAACATATAATTTCTGGTCAATTGTCCCTTTTAATCTCAGAAGTGCTGATGTTTTCTTTCCTGTAAATTTTGGACTTTTCGGGGCTGTTTTGGCCCTGACCATAATCTGAAATGTAGTTGCTAATTTCAAACGTTTGAACATCCGAGAATATCCCAAGTTTTTTTTTTACATAAATACGACATCGTTTTGGTCGACTATATTTGGAGAATTCCCCCCCCCCCTGCTCAGTTTATATTTTTTAATTTATTTTTTTAATTGAGGTCAAAATAGGAATTCATCCTGTATGATTCAAAATTTTTACTCTTTCAAATCTGAGCTCTGTTGTGATTTTATTTATAGGGCAGAACGTTTTCTATGAAAATCCTCGGTGAAACTGGATTTCTGCTCTCAGATGACTCTAAAATAGATGAGACTCCTTTTTCCTTTTAAACTCAGTAATTGATGCTTGTTGCCATCTCATTTTAAGTCCTGAGTGCGTGCTTGAATCTGGCGTGGCTTTGTGTGTGCCTCTAACCACGAGGACGTTTGCTTGGTATACACACAATCACCGGAGCTCGTGTTTGTCTTGGCTGCCTCCCTGCCTATTATCTGACCAGAAACAAATGAAGGCAGGGCCTTCCAGCCAACTGGTCGGTCAGCGGCCGTATTCATTCTCTTCCTACAAGGGAAGCAGGAAGAGGAAGTGAGGTCATTCTCAGGAGAAGGTTCGGGAATAGTGGTATGGACCCTGAGGGAAAGAAATAAACGGACAGAAAAGAAGAAGCAAACCAAGTTTTAAATGAATCAGTTGGGTATGCAGGCAGTTTTTGTAGCAATGGTGACACATTTTTAGTGTACAAATGTGCATGTGCTGCTCCATTGTTAGGTTGTTTGTGGCAGATGCCCCATACACGTCCACTTCCTGCAGCCAAACAAAAGACAGAAAAATAACCATAACACTTTGACGAACTGACAAATTATGTCAAAGGTGTAGTTCACAGAAAAAAAACATTTTAATGATTATTCCTGCAGGCTGAACATAAAAACCGTCTCCTACATCTGTCTCCTGCATTAGCTTCTGATGGAAATAGACAGTGAAACTCTAGGATTTCAAAAGCCTGACAGCGTGACATCACACCGTCACTTAGCATTCATGGACTCACCCATCTTGACTTGCGACGAGAAAGGCTGTTGCTGGTTTAGCGTCCAGGAAACTGCAGAGAAGTTTCGGCCTAGTAGAAGCTAACTGTTAGCATTAGCAACTCTACCACATAGTTGAACTCCTTCAGGCTTAAGTTTTTTGTGGGGATAAAATATCCTTTTTGCAAAGTAAACAGAGTCGGTGGCAGTGTCGCATTGCTGTTAAGCCTAGTTTATGCTTTTGCGTCTGTGCGGAAAGACACTACGCCGTTATCCGTCCTCGCAAGGGCTCCAGCAGTTGAGCCCACTTTTCTATACATCAGTCGAATGAGACGGAAAACCCAAGCTTGTGACTGGTCATAGTGCCTCCTTCTTCAACAGCACCGCCATTGCGCCCTCAAAAACATAAAGAGTGCCGAAGATATCTAGCTGCCGACATGCAGCATACCTCACAGAAAAATGTTGTATTCACATGTGACTCAAGGAGTAGAAAGAATGGCAGCAAGTGTTTTATTTGTGGATGGAAATGATGGGAAATGTGGGTTCAGACGCGGCGAGCGCATGGAGAGGTGGAGGAGAATGAGGGTCAAATGTGTTCATCTTTAAAAGTCTCTGAAATACAAAAACACAATGTAATCACAATTGTAAAAGCACTGTCTTGGACTGGATAAATGACAGGAGACCACAGAAAAGCGCTACGTCCTCTGCTGCCACTCCCCAGAAGACGGAGAAGTCCAAGAGCTAAACATCTTTGTCAATGTGTGTGTGTCTCTCCCTTATGGAGCTGATGAAGAAGCATGAACTAGGCTTTAGCCAATCAGAGGAGAAATGTCCACATATCAGGAAGTAAGACTCCAAAGCCGGTCGTCCGAAGCGCTCCTGTGATCTGGCAGTCTTCTAGATCCTGAAACAGGCGCACCAGGGCTTTTGTGCCCAGAGTACGACTTACAAGGTATTCATTCCTACTAGGGACCACTGCAAATGTAGTGATTAGACGAGTGAACCACACCTTTAGTTATGATATTTACTGAATAACGTTGCCATTGTTCTCTTGACACATGCAGCAATTATTTTGTCATGTAAAGTCGAATTTTTAGCCAAATGGGGGCATGTGTTTGGATTGCGACTCACCAAAGGAGCTTGTTGGACCATAGAGATGTTTTCCTGAGTTTCTCGGGGTTGGAATGCTATCTGTGTGTTTGTCTAATTTGCATTTCAGTAGTTCTACTGTCTTTCTTTTCTTTAGTGATTTGTCCTTAAACATGAGGTTTTGCAAATGCAGGAGCTAGCTCAAACACACAGACTGACATACAAGCGCTACACAGGAACCTCGGTTTCTGTGTTTCCCTTCAGAAATACAGAACTAAACACACACTCGGATACACTTTATTCGAAACATGCTATTTTACGTTTGCAAGGGAAATCGGAGCTCCATTCCTAAATAACCATGTTGGTTTAATGTTAGAGGCTGCGTGTCCCTTCAGTGTCAGAGTGGAGACCGTTCTGGTCACAGCGTTTTTTTGGCGAGTTCATCTGCTGTCTAGGCTTGTTGTTGGTATGTAAGTACTTGTGTATCCTGCAGACTAGACTCTTATTCTGACCTGTCTCACATTGTTTGGTGGTAAACTTTATTTGGTTACAGGACTGAAATGCAGTCCAGAGTTGCAGAAGTGCCTTAAGTTATTTCACTCCATAAGTGATCATCGGACAAACGACATCTTGGGTCAACTGAAGTGAACATGGCTGCCACAGAAAGCTCAGAACTTGTTATAACTCTGCCTGTTTTAGTGATGTTGAACTGAAAGTTGTCTTTTTGGTGGCTGAGAGGTTAGATAAGATAACGCGGCATCACCAAAGATTGCACGTTATTTTTAAAACTTAATTTTTTAGGTTATTTGCTAAAAACAGCTAAAACTCCACCCTTTCTCCACATTTGAACCAAATTTAAAATTTCAAGATGGTGAGTAAAATTTAACCCTTCAAATAATGCTGGTGCTTTAATATTTTGTTGTTGGAGAAATTATGTAGAGCAGGGGGGTTATTCAATTCAGGGCCTTGAGGGCCGGTGTCCAGCATGTTTTAGTGGTTTCTTTGGTCCAGCACACTTGATTCAGTGGTTGAATCACCCGTGCAGCAGCTCATCAGGCTCTGCAGAAGCCTTGCTAATCACCTGCTGATTGAAATCAGGTGTTTTGAAGCAGAATTGGAACCAAAACGTGCTGGATACCGGTGGAATTGAATAGCCCTGACATAGAGATACAACAAAAATGACTATCTGAAGTAATTCATCACTTCTGTCTGACCCATAGCAGATGTGTAACTCTAGCTGACACGTTCTTCCACAGCTCAGCAGAACCTTTTCCTGCTTTTGCCCTTTGGATTGTGTTTATTTGCTCCACTCATGGTTGCGCTACATTTGTACTTGCTGTCACTTCACTCCGCTGATGAACTTTTAACATCAGCACTCCGAGCCCTTGAAACTTGTCTCCTCTTTGAACTGCTAGCTACGTGGCCATTTGGCGTGTGTCATCTAAAAGACTTTCACACATAATTGGGAGACATCCTCACGGCTCCTCTGACCCAGCATTCAGTCCCAGCACTTAGCATAACAAGCCCAAACGTCACACCCTGCGTGACCCGGAGGGAGTTATGAAAGGGTTTGCTTGGCAGTGAATTTTCTTAACTGCAGTGAGGGTGTGAACATTGGCCCATTTGATGTTCGTTAGCATCCTTTCTTTTTAATAGTTGTCAGATATTCTGAAATTGTTCATTTTTGACATCAAAGGTGGACGTAGGCTGGTGGTCAGTGCTAGTGAGAACACATAAAAGACCAAGGTTTGGGAGATGTCTCCGTTTTCCACAGCTCAGGAGCAATAGAAATGAACCGAGTGTGAGTGAAATGGGTAGTAAAGGTTAATGAGTTTACTCATGACACCTGGTTAATGTTTCCAGGTCAGAAGTTGGTCCTATGGTGATTTTAATTACCAAATGCCCAATTGAGTGATGTCTCGTCAAAGTCATGCATGTTTTTGTTGTTTCCCTGCTTTAACATGCTAGAGTCAAAAGGTTAATTAACTGCTCGTCGTGTCTTCTAGTGCTGCAGGGGTCTTTTAACCCATCAAATCAGGAGTTTTAGAGCAGATGCATCTAAAATAATCCGTATAGGGATCCTCAAGGACACCACTGGCCTCATCGAGCAGGTGAAACTCCAAAAATTAGAACATTGGTCAAAAGTTCAGTGATTCACCTCATAAGGGGAAGCATGTATATGAGATAGACCCATTACGTGCAAAGCCAGATATTTCAAGCCTTTATTTGTTATAACTGTGATGATTATGGCTTACAGCTTATGAAAACCCCACATTCCAAATCTCAGAAAGTTAGAATATTGGTAAAAAGTTCAATATTCTAAATTGAAAGTGTCACACTCTAATCAGCTAATGAATATAAACACCTGAAAATTGTTCCTGAGCCTTTAGATCAGGGTATTCTATTCTGGCCCTCGAGGACCGGTATCCTGAAGGTTTAGTTTTAACACACCTGATTTCAATCAGCAGGTAATTAACATGCTTCTGCAGAGCCTGACGAGCTGCTGCACAGGTGATTCAACCACAGAACCACTGGAATAGAGAAACCACTAAAACATGTTGGATACCAGTCCTCTAGGCCTCGAATTGAATACCCCTGCTTTAGATGGTTTCTCAGTCTAAGATGAATTATGGAGATAACCCTATTCTAATTGTTCCTGTTTCACCTGCCCTAAGGACGACTGTTTTACATCGTGGTGATTTATTTTTTTGAAGGGGGTGTGATTTTTGCAAGTCTCCCTCAACTCTCTCCTCTTTTATCTCACATAGAAATTGAAGCCAAAGAGGCCTGTACCTGGCTCCGAGCTGCAGGATTCCCACAGTACGCCCAACTTTATGAAGGTAACACGCACCGTGGTTTGCTTTTAAACGTGTCCCTACCAAGGTATATTGTTCGAGTAACTTTTTTCTCACAAGAAAGAGGTGTGATTTGTAAGCCCACAGATATCACTGTTAAACCTTATGATGACAGAACACAAGAAAAGGAAGGGTATTAGTTAAAGCAGCTGCTTGTGTAACATTCAACAACAACTTATGTGTCATTAATGTGCTTTATAATTGTAAAGCATGCAGTTAAGTAGAATGTCTCAGACACACACACGCACACATTTAGATCGGTATGTTCCTTGTGAGGGAGGATAGAGGCCTAACATTAAGCTTTAACCACAATGTAACATATACCCATAGCATGTGTGTGGAAACTGTGTTCAGTCAATTTGCTCTTTACTGTAACAACGTGTTTTACACTGGATCCAATATTATTGGAAAGCTCATCTTTACTACAAGTTATACCTTGCGAGGATTTTGCATCTGTAGCATGAGCAACACGGGTAAATGTGCTGGAAGTGCCCCAAACATTAGAAAATGATCAACAAATGATTCCTAACTGGATCTTTGAGCTTTACACACAGATTTACTTAAATATAACGTTTGGTCTTTACTTGCTTTGACTATACTATAGCATTCCATTGACCCTGTATGAAATTGCAAGACGATGACAGCAGGACCTGCCCGTCGCTGTCAGCAGGTCATTGCTGGTTTCCAACTAACCGTGAACGGCTTCATCTTTGAACTGCACAACCATTGTTTCTGCACAGACCTGTCATACCTTAAAGAACGGAAACCGATAAAAAAACAATAAAAAAAGCACAAGCTAAAGCCATTCACTTTTAGTGTCATCTCGTATGTCATCTGCACCTAAAAGGGGATTGTCGTGTTCCTAACCCTTTCCATGAGAGAACCTCTTGTTGCTGTTACATCGATTGCTCCACTGAAACTGCGTGGACTGATTGGCCTGTTCCAGTCAGCACCAATAGGTGAAAGATGAATAGATAGCATTGTCTTGTCATCATCGCCCGAGGGTATAGATGCAAGATTCCCATTTTGGGTAGGGTCAGCACATTCCATAAGGCTCCTCAAAATCCTGACCATTCCAGCCAGAGAAGAGCCTCTCGACTATTTCTGCTTGAAGGCGCGCTAAGCTGGCTGAAGACGTCTTCCTCATATTGGGGCTGGTTGGAGTAAAGGCAACGAAAAGAAGTGGGACCTCTGAGCTGCAGTGGGGGACCTATAGCCTTTTTTCACCCCCACCAGGGCCTGCATGGTTTGAAAGCTGCAGCTGTGTTTGTTTGGTCGAAGACGCCACTTCCTCCATTAGCTTTTCAGAGGCCGTGTGGTGAGGGAGAAGCTAGGTGTTTGAGCAGGTGGGTGTGTTCAAAAGCTGGGGGGGGGGGGGACTCTGGTTTATCTGAACACACAGATGTAATCGGCTGCAGAGGAATGCCAACACCAACCCTACTCTCCCTCTCCTTTTTTTAGATTCCCAGTTTCCCATCAACATCTCTTCAGTCACCAGGGATCATGATTTCCTCGATCGGGATGCTATTGAAGCTCTCTGCAGGTGAGATAACAAATCACACACTCTAACCTTCTTTTGATGGTATCTGCCACTGGATGCCATAACTTTTCAACCTCACTGTGAAATCTCGAGAGGGTAACATCAAAAGGGGGCCTGCTTTTGAAGGCTTCGGATTAGATAAAACAATCATTCAAAAAGGCACCCTGGAAGCTCCGAGCTAGGCTCATACCTCTCACTGTAAAGCTCTGTATGTTTGGCATTCTCATGCAGTTGGTTTGTATGTATTTGAAACCTGACACAGAAGAAAATAAAATGTCCTTGTTGTAATAATCAGGACAGGGCTAACACTTCCATTGTCGTCGCTCAATTAAATTTCATGTCTTGGTAATGAAACTCAGCAGGTGTCTGCTCCTGCATCTGGAAGCAATCGTCTCCGTGTCTCCTCTCTTGGCAGGCATTCCCTCTTTCCCCACGGCCCCAACAACCCTTCAGCTCCCATCACTTCATCTCCCCATTGTTACACGATATGCTCGAAGAGCTCACAAGAGGGGGGACCCCTCCACCTCCTCCACCACCCCCTCCCTCACCGCCCTTCTCCAGGTGGCAGGAGGGATAAGCTTTCCGTCCCCTCCCCACCTTTTTCCTCCAGTGGATCTCATTCACCCCTCTTTTCCTGTCTCTTCCTGTTCATTTAGAGGATTATCCCTCAGCGGCTCATTAGCCAGACGGTTTGCATCCCCGCTTCCCTTCTGTGTGTCTCTTCATATCCTCCTTGTGGCGGTGTTAGAAAGAGGTCAACGAGCGAAACATTTTAAAAATCATTTGTTGCTGCAACCACCTTTGTGTGTTTGTGTTTGCAGGAGACTGAACACCCTCAACAAGTGTGCTCTAATGAGACTGGAGATATCTCCGCAAAGGAAAAGAGTAAGTGCACATCTACACTTACTGTAAAGGCCAAGTTCACTGGGGAAACCATTTGTTGCTCATTATTTATAAAATACTATCAGTCACAACGAGTTTAACGTGTAGGCTGAACATGTCTTTTACCCTTTTTTCCTGCATTAGTCACAGATAAAAAATAGATAGGGAACTCTGTTCAGAAAAACCACACACATCTGGTTACACTGTAAAAAAATCACTCATGGACTCGCCCATCTTGACTCGCGACCACAGAAGATTTCGCGTCCAGGAGAGAGCAGAATGTGTCTCGGCTAGCAGAAGCCAATCATTAGCATTAGCAACTTGGGTTTGCGCCATTTGTGAAGATAAAACGTCAAAGATGCAACGCAAATGGAGTCAGAGGTAGAGTTCTGTTGTTGTTAGCCAATCAGAGGCAAGATGTCTGAATATCATGAATAAGATTCCGAATTCGGCCATTTCCTGACCCCCGCTCCTCCATCTTACTTCCTGAAACAGAGCGCCATTAAATGTAGCGGAATATAGTTGATATATTCTTACACTTTATTAAGGTAAAGAGATGAATCTTACCTTAGAATCAGAAGAGGTTGTTTTTTTCCACAGGGAATTTTATTCAAACACTTTGTATTGACTTAGAGACAAGAAAAGAGAAATAGGGGACGTTTAAGAATATTTATTTCATAATTATTCGAAACAATCACCAGGACTAACTCTCTAATGATGGATGAAAATGGATGTGAACTGAAGCGTTGGTGTGTGTGTGTGTCAGTTCAGAATCTCCGTTCTGATGCGGGACGAGTCTGAGTGTAAGATGTTGTTTTGACTAACTAACCACGAGGGACTTCAGGAGGAAGAGACATGAAACGCCATCTATGCCGAGTCTACGTACCGTTTCGGAGACTCCCGTGTGTGATCCGGAATGCCAGGTCCTCGGACCCTCCTTTGGTGCTGGAACTGATAGCACAGCGTCTGCAGCATGACAAACCAGTCTACGGATCGACTCCCGGTAGCAACGGCAGGTGTCAGCGTCACGTAGAGAGTTCAGCTTTTATTTATTCAGCTTTTTTCCCCACAGAGAACAACTCACAAGGCATTCATTTATACCAGAGACCGCAGATTTATTCTAGTAACGAGTGAATGAAAAGGTGCTTTTTCTTAAAGCTCTCAGACACAATTACCTTTTCTCACACCTCCACCATCATCGATGCGCCCGCTGGCCACGGCACAACGCTGCATTTTTGCTCATTTTCTTTACTAAAGAGGCAATTGTTGAACTGTGAGGACCCTTAGGGAAGGGAAGGTCACTTCAAGAGGTTGTGTTCACTTTGACCTCCTCCCTGGTTAAAGGCACTCTTCTTTCCTTCATAAATGTTAGAGTCACTATAGCCATAGCCACGAATATAGTGATGCTTGAGAAATGAGACTAAAAACTGTGTCTAGAAATGGCGTCTTCTTGGAAAATGTCTTTAAAGACAACAGGCGAGTGAAATTCCAATTGATTAACACATCGTTAAGTCAGAGTGGATTGTTCGTGCTGAATGACAACACTGTCGTTGCCTAGTTTGACCCGAAACAGCCGTAACTCTTTAACAGCCTTGAGGGCTGCATAGTAACATATTTGTTCCACGGGTGGTGTTATTCACTAGGATGACCCTCTGTGTGTCACCTTTCATTTCAGGAGTCATCAGACAGAGGGAGAGGAGTCAATAAGCTCTTTTGCCTCTTTGACTCCTGGACTCTTATGAGATGGTAGACCACCCCCCACCCCCAGACAACATAAGAATGCATTGATCTCGTCACATCTCCACATTCCCTCACTCTCCAGATGTCCACTCTGTCTCTTGTTTTCTTCTTGTGGGGTTTTTCATTCTCTCAGTTAAAATCTTTCCTTTTCCTCCGCACACTCCTTCGCGTGACCTTCAGAGCCATCATCTCCATGAACACTTAGATGTTTGATGGCTTGAGGATTAGATATCTGCAGAATGCTGACAAATGGTTCCAGCTCTCCTGACTCGCTGCCGATCTTTGTTCACAACTGAAATGCTGGTGTTATCTCACATTCCACGCAGAAACAAGTAGAGAAACGTGTCACACAAGAAAATTTGCTGTTAGGAACATTTCTCTTGACTTTTTTTAGGCACAACTCCGTTAATTTAACTTACAGAGATAATTTTGTGTTTGCTGATTTCTAACAATCATTTCTAACAATCAAAAACGTCTGAAAGGTGGAGGGAAGCTGGTGGTTTAACTGCAGCTGATGGTTTAGCTTTGCTCCTCTATTGTGATTTAAATGAATCGGCATCGCTGCCATGAATAAGTAAATAAAAGCAAACAGTAGCAGCACATAACTCTAGTTTCCTTTCTGCTCTGTCTGAAGACCGTTGGGTGGGGGTGGCGACCCCAGTCTGGCTGGCTGCATTGGGAGCTATGGGGGTCATACTGGAATTTCCTGCAGGGTCTGCAATAGATTAACCGGGGGGGGGGGGGGGGGGGGGGGGGGGGGGGGGGGTTCACATTTTGTCCAAACATCTGTATTTTAATTGTGATTTGGTTTGGGCCCCTTCTCACCAACCTTTCACTTTTTAATAGTGGGCGTGTGTGTGCGCGTGTGTGTGTGTGTGTGTGTGCCACGTGTCCAGCAAACCAGTGAAATTAAGGCAATCTTTATTCAACCAAGTCAAAAACACTTGGAGCCAACCTGAAAAAAAGTCATTGTCAACCCAATTCAAGATGGCCACCACCTGTGATCAACCACAGCAAATGCAAACATTGGTATGACTGGCAATTTTATACATTCGGAGCTAAACGTTGGTGTTGTAGTAGCCAAGAGGCATTCCTAATAAATACGTTTAGAACAAAAAGTTCCTGCATGATCACTTGAACTTGTGCCTGAGGCCATTTTAAAGATTTGAGCAACATTCTTCTGACATCCGAGACCATGGTCTTGAGTTGGAAAGGGGTAGAGTGCCTTCTTCGCTTGGAGACAAGGTCCTGCCCCAAGTGGATGAGGAGTGTTGTTCACAAGTGAGGGAAAGATGGAGCAGGAGATCGATGGGCGAATTGATGCTGCGTCTGCAGTGATGCTGGCTATGTATCGATCTGTCGTGATGAGCTGAGCCAGAAGGCAAAGCTCTGGATTTACCGGTCGATCTTCTTTCTAACCTTCATTTATGATCATGAGCTTTGGGTCATGATTTAAAGATTGTGGATATGTGCAGCCAAAAGTAGTTATTTTTCTGCAGGGTGTCTGGGCTGTCTCTAGAGATGGGTTGAGAAGCTTTGTCATCCAGGAGGGGCTCGGAGTAGATGCGCTGCTCCTCCACGTCGCGAGAAGCCAGTTGAGGTGGCTCGAGCATCTAGTTAGAATTCCTCCCTGATGAAGTTTTGCGAGACACGCCGAAGGGACTATGTTTCTCGACTGGCCTGGGCACGCCTTGGGATTCCCCCGGAGTACCTGGCCCAAGGGGAGAGGGAAGTCTGGGTCTCTGCTTAGGTTGGTGCCCCTGACCCTAACCACCCCGGGTAATCAAAGGAAAATGGACGGATGGATGGATGTTTTCTAATGCTGATGTGAGTTTTAAACTCTGACATGAAAGGTGGCGGATGACCTGCATTCCTTTGAGAAAAGCCGGGCCTTGATTTACTGTATTACTGGAGGTGAGGGTGACATGCTCAGTGATTGATGACGTGACCTCAGATCTATCTTATCTAAAGTTGTCTTTTTATGTCATGGCTGCATGATCGTTCTTCTCACATAGCTGATGATTTTCTGCGAATGATTTGGTGTTATGAAAGAATTTGACGGCTATTATATGTGATTATATTTTATGTGGTTTTAAAATAGAACAGTTCTTGGGGGAAATATCCATAACTCCAGAGAGCTTCCTGGATTGTGGAATGGAATGTCGTAAAAGAAGTGGAAAATGTACTCGTGAATAATGTTCCTCTCCTTTTTGCTTTTCCACCCTTGCTTCCTGCTATTCACTCCCTCCCCCCGTCCTTTTCTTCCCCTGTTTAGAGCGAAGACTCAGATGAAGATGAGCCTTGTGCCATCAGTGGTCGCTGGACCTTCCAGAGGGACAGCAAGCGCTGGTCCCGCATGGAGGAGCTGGAAGTTTTCTCTGCTTTTCCTCTGGACGCTGGTCAGCCCACGTTTAGTAAGGACCCCGGATCCCAGAAAGGCAGGATGACCCTGCATGAGGGCAACAGCACCGAGAGCGTGCTAACTGACCTCAGCGAGCAACCTGAAGTTGGCTCCATCCACAGCAGTGGGAGTGGAGGAAGAGGAGGGGAGAAGAGCCATGGCGCTGCCCTGAGGAATGAAGCTCTACCTGTTGGAGCCACCCGTGCAAGCTCTGTGGCCAGCATGTGCTCATCCTCTGGCACGGGAGGCTCAGGAGGCCCCAACGAGGATTCTCTGTCTGACGGGCTTCCTCCATCTCCTCTGGACAATCTCAGACACTTCACCTTTGATGTCAAAGCTGGAATGGAGGGAGGAAGTCTGGACCGAGGAGGAGGCAGTGGCAAAAGTACGCGTTCAAGAGCTAAAAGTTTCCTGAAGAGGATGGAGAGCCTGCGGCTTCGCAGCAGCGTCTCTTCCAAGAGAAAGAAGAAGGGGAGTACTGGTGGAGGGAAGCTGGAAATCAGTGGCCCCGTCGCCAAACAGGGTCTAGATGAAGACAAACTGAGGAGGCTGAACTGTGTGGACATCTCAAGCATCAACTTCAGTCACCACCGCAACCCCACTCAGACCATGACTCTAAACCGGAACCGCTCTGTGTCCTACTCCACTCAGACCAGCAACGGCAGCACTGGGAGCACAGGGAGCAGCCAGTCCGAAGCCAGCAGCGGAAGTGCGGTGAGCACGCCGAGTCCGGTGACTCGAGCTCGCAGTCACAGTACGGCAGCGGGTTCCGGTAAAAGAGGAGGAATGTACTTGGAAGGGTTTGATCCTTTCAGCATCCTCCAGCAAGCAGCCGACCAGCAGCCGCCTCCGCCCAAATCAGCTCCACCCATTCCCTGTCAAGCCAGTAAGGGGATGTCAGTTCATGAGCAGAACCGCAGGAACAACTGCAAGGATCAAAGCAAGAGCAGGCAAGATGAAGAGGAAGATGCTGATGAAGAGGGGGGCATGATCTTCTTCTATTTACCTGAAGGCCACAAGCCGGGAACTTTCCCCACAGCCCTGCAGGACGGGAGTCCACGTAATCACAGTGGGAGTGACAAGGGGGGCTCAGTGATCCTCAGGGGACGGCAAAGCAGGCGCCATCGTCGAGCGTCCTCGGGCTCCGTCGACAGCCGGCTCAGCTTTTACGACAACGTCCCCTTCACTGAGCGAGAGGAGGCAGAGGGGGATGAACAGAAACTTGAGGAAGTGCTGCAGCAGGTCAGTGGCTTTGTGAACGCCTGGTCAGAGGTGGCGGCTGGTGAGGAGGAGGAGGAGGAGGAGGAGGAAGAAGAAGAGGAAGAAGATGGAGACTCAGACTCAGCACTGGACTCGGCGTCGCCATGCCCATCTTCTCCTCTGCAGAACCAACTGGAAGAGACGGAGAACGGAAGTGACCAGGACAGCACAGGAAATCCGCTGGGGGAGGCAGAGGACGGGATGAGGGAGAGGAGAGATTCAGGCGTGGGAGCATCGCTGACGAGAACCAGCAGGTCAGATAAGATGTCTTGCATGTTTGTCTTACAGCTTTGTCCTCGCTTTACAGTTTTTACTGTTTAAATCCCAAAAAGTTGAACACAATGGGACAAAAATGAGTTTTCTAATGGAGCTCAGGAATGCTGCTTGGTCTCCATGGTAACAGTTTCTATACACTCGGGAATTTACCGGCAGAATTACCTTCAGTTTCTATAAGATAATCTCTTGATTGATGCATGCATTCGTATTTGTAATCCCTCCACTGATCACCCGACCACACACAGAATTGTTACACACTGTGTGTGTGTGTGTGTGCGCATGTGGTGGGTGGGTGGTGGTGGTGGTGGTGGTGGTGGGGGGGGGGGTGTATGTGTACAGTAAACCACAATGCAGATCCCTGGAGTTTAACCGCTCTTTTCTCAGCAGTCATTCTCCTTTTAACTTCTCTTTCCTCCTCTCCCCCGATGCTCTCCAGACCCCAGAAACTCCGCTGGCCGAGCTTCCAGAACTCCCACCGGCCCAGCTTGGCCTCCGCTCAGCTCCAGATCTGCTGCCAGTCCTTGCTGCAGATGAATCTTCTGCAGAAGCTCTCGCTTCTGCAGCTCACCGCCCTGCTGGAGAAACACACCCCTACAAACAAACACGGCTTCAGCTGGTCAGTAGAAGAAACGTAGAACCCTCGCATACGTCTTTCTCCTCAGTAACAGATGTTTAGTTTTTTTTTCTTGTTTCTCTCTGGAAACTGCGTCTGCCACATTGTTTCTGTCAGTTATGCCCCTGAATATCTCCGCTCAGCCACCCTCCACCCCTCCGTCCTGCCCGTCTCTCAATCTGCTCCATCTGCAAGTTGTATATCGCTGTGACGGCTGTCCGCAGAGGTTGGGTTTCACATTCTTTTCCCAGGCCCATAATTGCTGGGAAGGGGTGCGCATTGTCTTCTTAACGGTGCAATTATGGCAGTTCACACGCAAGGTGCTGCGCTGCAGGCTGGAAAGAGTTGCCCTCCGCTCCGCAGTCCTCCAGTAACACCCGATACCATCTGACTGGATCGGCTTTAGAGTTTCGGGTTTTGTTCTTACCTCCTACAGCAGTTTCATTCTTTGTTTATTAACGGTAATCTTTCAAAAATTGGATTTTATTAAGCAAAATTCACATTTTTTTACTCTATTTGTTTGTTTTCTATACAGATTTGTTCACTGAGAGGGCCTGCTAAACAGAACGTATCTCAATGGGCAGAAAAAAACGATGTGAGACACTCAGTGCAAAATATAATTTGGCGTGAACATGTTTTTGACTTTCCCAGCCTATGAAATCAAAGCTTTGTGCTTAGATTGGAGAAGAAAAATGAAATTATAGTGAGAAATGAAGTTTTTTTTTACTTCATGCTTAAGGCCTTTCTTGTGCTGAAACAGAAGGCACCATGACGGTCTCATGACAGGCTCGCTGAGAGACAGAGTCCGATTGTTGGCTCCTTCAGACCCGTACATATTCAGAATTCCGTTCTTGATCATAAAGTTTCTCTTTTTCCATCTCTCCCAAATCGTGATTCTGAGAAGTGCTCCAGAGTCTTGTGAGCAGCAGCTCTTACAAAGACACACTTGTCCCGACTCACGCACCGAGGCCTTCAGCTAAACACACTCACACCCCTGCAGATAGAAACACATCCATAAATCTGCGGGTGAACTCATGTGAAACAAACAATACTTTGCAGTTTTAGTTATAGATTCTGTGGCCACCTGCACCATGACATGTGGACACAGAGAGTGAAGAGAGCTACTGAGCTACCCTTCCTCTTATAAAACCCGGAGACACCATTTTTGGGAGAATTCTGTAGTAATCAGATTAAATTTGACATCAGATCTAAACCGATTTACATTTAAGATTTAATCCATCGGTAGAATATTGTCAGTTGTGTATTTCTGTTCTTACACTTATTTTGCACTCGTGTTTGAATGAAGTAATGGTAGGAAGTCCACCTACAGCTGATATACTTTTGAAGTCAAAGATGGCCACTGCAGCTAGCACAAAAATGGCCATACTTGCAATATTCTCATCATGGGATGATCTCAGTCTAAAGCCTAATTTATACTTCCCCATCAGCTCCACGAGGGAGAGACACGCCCGCACGAACGGAGACGTTTTGCTCTTGGACTTCTCCGCCTCCGGGAGAGTGTTGCAAAGCAATTCCCCGCCAGGACACCAGAGGGCGTAGCGCTGTTCTGTGTTATCCTGTCATGTGTCCGGTCCAAGAGAGTGCATTTACTATTGTGTTTTTTGTATTTAAGATACTTTTTAACGTGGGCAAATGTGTCCCCCATTCTCCTCAACCTCTTCATGCGCTCGCCACCTCTAAACCCACGTTTTCCATCATTTCCGTCCACGAATAAAATGTTTGCTGCGTATCTTTTCACTCCTCCAGTCACGGGGGAATAAAACGTTCATAATTTTAGTGTTTTTCTTTGAGGTATTCTTCAAGCTTCTCCGTGTCTGCTGCTAGATCTCCTCGGCTCTCTTTATGTTTTTGAGGGCACAATGGCGGGGCTGTAGGTGAACGACAGTGGCGTCCTGACCAATCACAAGCTTGTGTTTTTCGTCTCGTCGGACAGTTGTTTAGAAAAGAGAGTTCGACTCTGTCCGTCTTTGCGAGCCTGTTCGAAGAGCCCTCGAAAGGATGGATAGTGGCGTTGCGTGTCTCCGTCCCGACGTTGACGGAGAAGTATATATATATATATTTTTTTTCTCTTTTATTTCATTCACAATGTATAAAATAAACACAAACAAATACAGGATACATTAACATATTGAAAAAAAACCTTTGAATGAAAAGGAGCAGATAGAAGAAAAAATCTTATGATTTCTGCCCCTTTTTACGAAAGGAAATTATCCGCCAAACAAACACAGTATAACCTCAGTCACTTTCTAATATTTTCACGTCTAATCTTTGACATTATAATTCTCCTTTTCATAATTACTAAATACATTAGATTTTATAGATTTTTTAAATATTGCAAGTGTAGTTGATTCTTTAAATTCCTTGTTAATGGCGTTCCACAATCTTACACCATTTACAGAAATGTTACAATCCCTAACTTTGGTTATGAATCTAGGTTTCTTAAAGACATCAGTTCCTTTTAACATGTACCCACTTACTCTCTTATGAAGCATTTTCTGAATATTAGTTGGTAGATTATTCGTATTCGCTCTGTACATTATTTGCAATGTTTTCCACTCTACCAAGTCAGGAAATTTCAGTATTTTGTATCTAATGAATAATGTATTAGTGTGATCTCTATAGTTACTGTTGTTAATGATTCTCAATATTAGGCTTAACATAGGCCTAAAATGTCAATGACGATGTGCAATTCTTAAAGGAAAGCTAGGTCGGTCATCGCTTTTGTTTAAGATCCACTTCTTTGGTCAATCCTGTTATTTCCAGTTTGAGTAGAAATGAATTTTCTAATTGTTGGTGGTTGCAGGGCTGTGCCAAAATTCATGAAACGAATCAAAGTTCGTGACTACAAGGACCGGAATGTGTTCGGTGTGCCGCTGCAGGTCATCGTCCAGCGGACTGGCCAGCCCCTTCCTCAAGGGATTCAGCAAGCTATGCGCTATTTACGCAACCACTGTCTGGACCAGGTAAACTTAGAAGTTTCTACCTAACAAGTATGAAGAATTAAAGCAGAAATCTACAGTTTTTGTCAGAAGGCACCATCTAGAGGTGGAAAAATGTATTGCACATTTAAGCTTTTCTCCCTATACTTCCATGATTAAGACTGGAAGCAACACCTCTTCTTTAAGTAAACACACACCTCTAAGCAATGTCGCCAACTCTGCATCAGTACTTCCTTTTTTTTTTTTTTTTTTTTTTTTTTTTTTAGAAGATATTAATTTAATGATTGCTTGAGCTGCAAAAACGTGATTCTTATAAACTGGGTGATGTTCTAGGATCATCTAGGGTTTCCAAGTGACTCTTGCATAAGATTCGGTAATAAAAAGGAAAACTATTTAAAGCCCACATGGTCAGTGTCATACTTTCCGTAAGCAGGACAGATGTCTGTGCAGAATCAAAATGTGCAGCTGCTGAGTTTTTATTAATTTTTTCTTGATTTCCATCAAGTGTGTTTGCATCCATAAAGGAGAGATTTGGAAAAATAGACTTGCTGTTAAAGGAACGCAACGGAGAAAAGAGAATGATGGCTTTCTTTTCAAAGCTGGACAAGGCATCTCTGTTCTGAGATGATGAAAGATCATGGAAAATATTCAGACTGGACATTTAGTCCTTCTTCTTGTAAGTGTTTATTGCCCTTTGAAACCGCCTTAAAAGGCCATTGATGAGGTCCTGCACAGCTTTTCAGGCAAGAATGCACATCGGGTGTCATGGGAGCTGCTTGTAAACAGTCAATAGGTTCTGCTGTGATGTGACCGAATTTACTGTGAGCACTCAAACTGTGGAAGAGTGAAAAATATTAGGCAACACAGAAAATAGTCTGATGATTAAAAAAAAGGGGGTCTACAACACATGAGTCCATTTAGAGGCAGTTTTATAATAAATGATGCACTTCGTGTCACTTCTGAGACGAATGGGTCATAATCTCATCTGGTCTGCCAGTATGGATGATGGAACTTTATCTTTTTATGCTCCGCCTCCCAGGTGGGTCTCTTCAGGAAGTCTGGAGTTAAATCTCGCATCCAGGCTCTCCGTCAGATGAACGAGGCGAGTGGCGCAGAAGGGGGAGGAGTCAACTACGAAGGCCAGTCGGCATACGACGTTGCAGACATGCTGAAGCAGTACTTCAGAGATTTACCAGAACCTCTTCTCACAAGCAAACTGTCTGAGACCTTCCTCCAGATCTACCAGTGTAAGAAAACGGATTTAAATTTGTCCCTCCAGGAAGTTGCTCTGTTGTAACTATTAAAGCAACACTTAAATGGTTTCCCGCTTCGTCCCTCCACTGGTTGAAATGGGACATACAGCTGCCGTAAACAACCCTGCAGCAACCTGCTGTAGCTAGCGCTAATGACGAGCTAATGCTAACATTAGCCAACTGATTTTAAATAAACCACAAAGTAAAAGATCCACGGAGTTGGACAAGAAATATTATTATTTACAAGTCCAGTAGCAACAAAGTCAGGTCATCATCAGTTCGTGATTTCATGGCCTCCTTCAGCTCCCTCAAACAAGTGTAGGCCGCGCAGATGTTCACTCTGGTTTAAGCAATTTGCTTCCCCTCCAGACCTTACTCTCTAACTTTTACTTTAAGTCGCAGCCTTGATGTCAACAAAAAAAGCAAACTTCACCTTCTTGTGCTTTTATTTGATGGTCAGCAAATTAAAAAAGCTAACTGCTAACTTAACTGCTCTATTTACTACCAGTACAGTAAACAGCTGTTGCTGTAAAGAAGGGATATGCCTCCCTCTAGTGTTCCTACCCGAACCACAAAACTTTCTGGTCAGCAAAGGACTGCAGAGTGTTCTTCAGTGTGAAGTTGCTTAAAGTTAAACTTTTTTGTATTTTTAAATCCCTTTCTTGAGCCAGTATGTTCTAAAACGGCCCTTTACAGGGTTAATGAAAGACCACTGAGCCTCTATCGCCCCCTGTGGCCAGAATGTTCCACTTGCAACTTCAGAGTCTGCTCTGTTGGGACTTAGAAAAACTGGAACTGACATACCTGCCTCTGCAGTCTGGTTCCAGCACGTTTCCTGCATGTTTTAGATAATGATCCCAGCTGATTTGTTTAATTTAGTAATGAACCGCTCCTCTAGATACCAAGTAAAGCTGGGGAGACATTTCAGCTTTCAGATTAAGGTGATAAAAAGATTAAAGCACAGCGAGGAGATGAATTTTGCTTTAGGTTCTACAAACGGACACTAGGGGGTGGTAAAAGCAAGCTAAAACTGTCTAGTCTCCTTTTAAGTTATTGGCTCAAGAATCACTGAAACCTGTTTGAAAGCAACAACCAAAAGTGTTAAAAACTCTTTAGGAGTTTCAGACTTAAAGTCTGAAGACACTTAAGTCCAGAACATTACACTTTGCTGCCGGTGGAAAGGAACAGGTCCGCTGTAACGGTGGCTAATGGCCGCGAAGCAGATTTGGTAACGCTTTCACGTCCGGTGGAAAAGAGGGGTTATTAAAGAAAAACAAGCTCACTAAATATTGTAGAGAAGATGTTCTTACATTTAATTAGAAACCATAGAATGTGAAATGAAATAAAATATGAAGTATCACCTTAATGGATCTTTGAATAAATTTAACCAGAAGATCGGATCTTTTTATTGCAGGGATTGAGCAACACTTCGTATCAACTCCAAGAAAGAGAGAGTCAGGTTTAAAAAGTTAAAAGATTTATTTCTAAACAATTTGAACAAGACTACCTTCAAACACTATGTGAAGTAAGGTGGAGTAAGACTGAGGATGGTGTGTGTGTGAAATATGTTCAGAACCAGCAAATCCGGAGAGACTATGAGTTCTGAATGGGAGTGAAAGGGCGTTTCGCTCTAAGCTTTGGTTTGGAGATTATAACACACATTGAGACGCCATCTGTCGGTCTACGTACCCGACGGAAGTCCCTGTTTAGATTCGGAATGTCGGGGTCCAGCTTGGACCCTCTTGGAACCGACGCCTGAAGACATGCAGCGGTTGCCGACCCTTCCAGTCTTGAGTTACTCCCAGGTCACGACAGTTTATTGGCATAAGAGAGACCCTGAAGGGGGTCGTGATGGTTCAGCTTTTATTCTGAAGGAGCTGTTGCAGCAGGTGGAACATGCAACAGATTTAATCCAGCTTGTCGTTAGGTTATTTCGGCTTTAAGAGGAAAGTTACGGATTGGCCACTCCGATAACTTCTCTAGAACGCTTTAAACTCAAGTTAAGATGACGTGGGGCATAGTTTTATAATTTGGATGTTTTGATTTATGGTCGAATCAGGATTTGCCAACAAAAGGGGATTTACCAAGCACCAACAAAACCACGCCTTGCGTCAGATCTGGAAGGTTCTGATTGGATCAGAAAAAGGAAATGTGTCATGTGATTTTTAACATTACGTGTGATCAGTCTAGTGTAAATATTAAAAGTTATATTACTTATTACAACTATCATAGGATTATAATATCAAGTAATTAATATTCTTATTTCACAGATTGATTGAGCATTAGCTTCAATGATAATTTGGACTAACAAATTATCATTTAAAGAGAAGAGTTCTTTCTTCTTTCATGCACTGTCCGAGGAAGCAACTGTTTAGATAAGAGTACAGAGCATGAGTGGCCTTGGCCTATATCTTATAGATTAGGCTTGTGTCAGAAACGTATGGTTTTGCTTGGGCAGAACAACTAGAGCAGGGCCTTTAGGTCAGAAATGGACAATTCATCACGCTACAATATTTTATAAGCTAGGCTACCAGTATTTTGTGTGATTTAACTGGATCTGATAAGTGCTAAATATTGTTTTTAAATGTTAAGGTTCTATGTTTGGTTGGATTTGTGAGCTAACTGCTTCCACACGCTCACTCCTGTAAATAAGAAGCTATCCCACCATCTCTGCAGCTTCATGTTAATGTTTATATGAAATTCACTTGGCAGGTTTTTGGCCACAACACAGTAAAAAAAAATAACGTTTGAAATTGCTGCAACTTAGATTGCATCTTTTTTTAAAAGCTGTTGCATGAACATGCACATTTTGCACAAAGTCCTAAATAAAACATTAAAGTCAGAACAGATCTCACCTAAACTCATTTTCTGCAGACAAAAGGCAGCCAGACAACTTCCTTATTAGATCAACCATAAAAATAGAACATGATGCATCCTGACGGTGGGTAATTGGATTAATTTGGAGCTCCCCCTTCCTGCAGACATGCCTAAAGAGCTGCGTCTTCAGGCGGCCCGCGCCGCCGTGCTGCTGCTGCCAGACGAGAACAGAGAGGCTCTGCGCACACTGCTGTGCCTCCTCAGCGACGTGACTGCGAGCGTGGCGGAGAACCAGATGACCCCCACCAACCTGGCTGTCTGCCTGGCCCCGTCTCTCTTCCACCTCAACACCTTGCGTCGCAAGGAGAGCTCCTCGCCAAGGTGTGTGAGCCTCCATCTTTTCACTAATGCAGCGCTTTGTGATTTATATCTGTGAAAGGCGCTATATAAATAAACTTTTACTTACTTACTTACTTACTTCAGGTTACATAACGTTGTGTGCTGTACGTTTTGAAAACAGGAAAGGCTCATATCAGCGAAACAAAAGAGTAGGATGCTATATATGGAGGGCACGCATGGAGCAGGAAACAAAGAAGTTACATAAACATGAAATCCTAATTTAGACCGATGTGTCAGACAGTTATTAATCTTAGTGTTTTTCATCTTGTTTTTGGGGACAGGGTGATGACCCGAAAGCAGACGCTGGGAAAGCCAGACCAGAGGGACCTGAACGAGAACCTGGCTGCCACTCACGGGCTCACACACATGATCCAGGAGTGCAGGAAACTCTTCAGGGTGAGTTATCTAAAAAGACTGCTGATCGGTTCGATAAGAAACCACTCAAACGCGTTTTTAAAGTTCCAAACCCAAAAGAATTTTAACTTCTTTCTTGTGCTTTGACGCCAGAAAAATGTCACCCCCACTGTGTTGCCGTCACACACTCGTGCTCTTGTGTTTGTCATGTAAACACGCTCCCAGTTACATAACCTCACAATCCAACTCGCGCTGATGTTTGTCAACGGACTCACGCGTCCTGCTCGAACTGTGTCTGTCCTGCAGAACTAAACACCCTCAACAATCAAATTCAACTCAAATTCTAAGATTATTAATCCCAGAGGGAAAATACACAAAGAAAACGATCCTTGAAGCAGTCACTGAGATGTTTCCACCACTTTGTGCTTGTTAACAGGAAGTATTCAGCGTTACAAATCCCGTTAGCGTGACATTCTGAGGACAACTGCTCTGCTTCATTCTCGTCTCTGTCAGTAAAAGCTAAAAACCGTCACGCGTCGGGTCATTACTACCATGCAGGCTTTGATTAGATTGTGCAGGAGCTTCCTGGTTTCCTGTCATCATCAAACGAACTTAATTACCTTCTTAATTGCTCTCTTTTATTAGATTTGTGTTTGCTGATGGAGGCTTATAAAATCCGGGATGTAATTACCTTAACTAGAAAGCCTTTTTATATCTAATGTCCGTTTACGTCATTTTAAAGACAAAGAAAATACAAAGGAAGGAGTTAAATAATGAGGATGCTGGAGATGAGATCAGGGGGATTTGATGAGTTCCCATTTTGAACCGTCTATCCAGGAAGCATGAAATTCAGTTATCGATGAAGTGGAGAAACGATGCCGAGCGCTTCTCCAGATTGTTTTTTAGGGCGTCCTTTCAGCTGCAGGCTCATTTTCTCAGTGTTTTCTCACAGATCCCTGAAGAAATGAGCCGCTGCAGGAACTCGTACGTGGAGCAGGCCCTGCTGCCCCAGCGCTTAGAGGAGCTCGCAGGTGAAGAGGCGGAGCGAGGGGGATACCGGGCCTACCTGCAGGACAGCTTAGACACGCTCCTTAAAGAGGCCAAAGACAAGTTCAAAGGTTACGACAGCTGCTCCACGCCCGAGCATGCCGAGCTGTCCTACAGGAAGGTAAGCTCAACGTTTGCACACGTAAAAGTGAAATCATCCCAACAGAGAGAGAGAAACTCATCGGTTATTCTGTCTTTACTGGATAAACACACCCTCTCCGTTTCCTGTCGTCTTGATGTTCGCTTTGCTGCACTAAACACTGAGTGGAAAAGCAGCTGTTGGGGTTTCCTGTCCGGAGTTGTGTCCGTGTGAAAGTAGCTCAGCTCTGGGCTTCTTTCTCCCATCCCCTTCCAGCTCTGGACTCTGTCCCAGGATGACATCAGCTCGATGTTGCGACACGCTCACAAACAGATCTTCACCGTTATCCCAGGAACTACATTCCCTGTGTCTCCTGTGTGCAGAGCCTGGATAGATGATCTTCTCTCCTGTTTGAGAGTCCCAAAGCAGAGAGTGTGTGTTTGTTTTTCATCTTTACACCGCAGAATGAAGCAGCTGATTTGGCTAAAGGGCAGCTGCAGGTTTTTGAACACGCGCGCAGACTAGTGATTTTGAAATATCAAGCATTCGATGTTCCTGACAACAACTTGAGAAATATTTGAAAGATCGTGTTTCTGTTTTCACATTGTTGCATAACATTAAAAAATGTTTTTTTTTTTAAATCTAGGTGCAGGATGGATTCCCACTGCGGCTCTGGAAAGTGACTGTAGAAATTCCTGCGAGTCCCGAGGAAGTCCTGACCCGAGTGCTGAGAGAGCAGGGCCAGTGGGACGAGGACCTGCTGGAAAGCCGAGTAGTGGAAACCCTTGAGGAGCGGACAGAGATCTACCATTATGTCAGGAACACCATGGCTCCCCATCCCACCAGAGAACACCTGGTGCTCAGGTAGAAAATAATGTTATCTGCATGTATGGAGCACTGGACAGATTTAAAGAGCAAGTTCATCGTTTTTTACTTGTTATTTTTTAAATATGATTGGTCACTCTAAGTTTAACATGCAGACTAAATGTGAAAATAGTCTTCTACCCCTATTTCCTGCATTAGCCACAGATAGAAAACAGGTAGGGAAACGCTCGAATTAGACAAATATGTGCTAAATGCATGGCATAATGTCAAATTAGCACTCATTGGCTCATCTATCTTGGCTCACGACAGGGAAGGCTGTTGTTGATTTTGTGTCCAGGAGAGAGCAGAGCATGTCTTAGCTAGCAGACGCTAACCATAAGCATTAGCAATTCCACAACATGGCAGAACGCCATCAGGCTTGTGTTATCTGTGAAGATAAAACATCAGCATTAAACCGGAGTCGGTGGTCGAGTCGCGCTGCTGTTATTCCAATCGGATGCAAGGTATTTGAAAATCAGGAAATGTGACTCCTAATCCAGCTGTCTGAAGCTCACCTTTCAACTGGCTCACTTGTAGTTGCTGAAACAGGAGCACCAGAGTTTTTTTTCCCACAGAGAATGACTCCCAGGACATCTGTTTTAGAGACTCCAGCCAAAGTAAATGCAACATTTAAACAACGAGCGAATGAGAGCTTTAATGGAGTAATTTAAGTCATGTTTGGTGAAACTTGGATGGTGGCAGATAGGAATTTTAGGCCTTTAATTTTACATAAAAATATTAAAGGTGTGGCTCACAGAAAAACAACTTTTTAATTATTATGAACCAAAACACAGAACAAACATTCAGAAGGATTTTTAATGATTATTTCTGATTTATAAATGGTCTCTCTGAGGTTTTCATGCAGGCTCCTGGCTTGTGCTACTTGTGGAGATAACACATCCATGTTGCAGGGCAAACGGACTCTGTGGTAGAGTGGCATTGCTGTTATCCAATCAGATGCAAGATGTTCACATGTCAAGAAATAAGGGCCGTGTTAAGCTCTCCTCAGATGTGGCATTCTGCTAGATCCTGAAACAAGTGCGTCTGAGCATTTTTCCCCACATCTTTAACAATGTTAATGTTTTTCACCAGAACATGGCTGACTGACCTGCCTAAGGGTGCGTGTGCTCTTGTGTGTACATCTGTGGAGCATGACGGGGTACCAGTGGTGGGGGTACGAGCCAACGTTCTCACGTCACGCTACTTCGTCGAACCCTGTGGAGCCAACAAATCCAGACTCACCCATATCTCCAGAATAGACCTCAGGTGGGTGGATCATGCAGAAACAACAGTGTTACAGCAACACAAGTCAAATACAACAAAACGTCGAATAAACCAAGCTAACTGTGTTTTTCATTTCTTCCAGGGGTCGTTTCCCTGAGTGGTACAACAAACTGTACGGTCACATGTGTGCTGCTGAGGTGGCGCGAATACGGGACTCGTTCTCTGTTCCCGTGGACAAATAACAAGGCGGCGAGCAATTTCTTGGATTGAAATTGTGTGTTTTTTTGTTTTGTTTTTTTTTTTTCCCAGCAGACTGAGACAAAGCCTGGAGGCTGGATTGAAGGACGTGTTTGGCACAGGTCAAAACAGACTAACTGTTCAGTTGGGACTGAAAAGAGAGATTTATCTTGACCTGGGGACATGATGTTGCTGATACAGGACGTATGGTTTGGACTTTATCTAAAGCGATGATATTGCTTCTGAGAAGCAAAGGGAGATCTAAGGTATGAGTGAGCTTGTGTGTGCGTGTGTGTGAGAAAAGCAACTCTATATCTGCAATGTTGGTCTACAGGTGGAAAAACAGTGTGTACATAAAGTATTCTGGTCACACGGTGTCTGTTAATGTTTGCCTTGTGTTACCTCTGGGCCCCTTTTTCTGTTACAGCAAGGCACAGGAGGAACCGTAGACGTTATTACAGCGAGCTGGTTGATGAATGTATGGGTGAAGAGAGATGCCAGTGTGCTGGTGATATGCAGATCGAGTGGAGACAATAGACAGGATATGGTGAGATGACAGGTGGCCGGTAGCACACAGGGTTTTTAGTGTTTGGAGGACGAGACGGATGAGGACTGGTGGCTGGCTCACCAAAAAGAAAGGACTGATCAAAGACGGGGCCTCACTTACTGACAGACACGCGTCACTTCAGTCCCTGGAGAAGAATTCAGTTCAGTCAGCCTTGGTGGGCTTTCTACAGAAGGTGTTTTTCGTGTCCCAGCTAGCAACATAGTGCCAAAATCCAGTTCTTCAGCGACTCAAATAAAGGAAAAGCAGATTTAAAGGACCAAATCAAGAAAAAGCTGAGAGCTGTCCAGTATTATTCACGGCGTCAGTAGTTTAGAGCACAGCACAATTCACTTACATCACTTATAAACTTTAACATGTTCACGCACACGAGAACAGAAGACACAATGCACTGTTCAAACTCACAACGCAAACCTCGACGAGAGCAGAAAACAAGCAGTCCTTTTATAAAGGTGGGGCTTTTACAGGTTTTACTGTAAAGTACAGGGTGGAGTGAATGTGTTTTACAGGAAGGATAAATATCTTTATCTAAGCTTCTTTCTCAGCAGAAAACTGAAATCTGGACCCTCACAACGTTCGTGTGTAACAATCTTCCACACGCTTCAGTCTGAAGGTGTACATTGTTCGTTTTGAGTGTACAATTAATTCACTAAGCCATTTGTTCATATCGTTAAAAAAAACTGTAACAATGCCAAATAATAACATGTGAACGTAACAGTTAATTTAAAGCAAAATGTATTTATACCTCAGATATGTGTTTGTTTCGTTCAGTTATTTTATTTTATTGTACATGTTAAGCTTTGTGTTACAGAAATTAAAACAGGTTTTATCTTTTTTATTATTATTATTTCTGTACAGGTTAATCAAAGTGCACTATTAAATGTATTAAGATAACGATTGTTGTGTGCTCTTTGTTTTGACTGCAAAGTTTTCTCTCTCAAGCCCTCCTAATCCTCATGGCCACTTGTTGACGCTACACTTTGTTCCATCATGGATTTCCCTGGTAACAGACCCTTATCACCATATTTCTGTGTAACGAGACTCCATTCCACACCAGTCAATCCATGACAGGACCACAGATGGTGACCTCAGATCTTGTGTTTCTTACATAAGTCTCAAGTAGCAGAGGGCAGGGAGGTCCGTTGGGCCGAGACAAGTCTGGTGTAAATGAAGCAGGGCGGTCTAAAAGGACGATGTGAAACGAGGGGCCTCCAGAGGTTGGTGCAGATGTTTATTGTCATTCTTGAACAGATGTTTCTCTGGTAGAGCTCGCTACCCTGGTTCTAGTCTTATCTGCCAAGTCAAAAACGGTGATGGTTAATCAAGGACTACCTCAAGGCTTTGTTCTCAGTCCATTAGTCTTTTTTTGTCAACCACCATTAAAGGCCAAGTTCACTGAGAACCACTTGTTATTTTTTTAAACACGACTGGCAACTCTGAGACTGACATGCCAGATCAATGTGAAAATAGTCCTCTAACCCTTTCTCCTGCATTAGCTGTTGAAAGAAAACAGACGGGGAAATTCGGATTAGAAAAACCAGTGACATTGAAACGTCATAATGTCAAATTAGGATTCATGGACTCACCCAGCTTGGCTCGCAACAGAGAAGGTTATTTTTGGTTTAGTGTCCAGGAGAGAGCAGAGCGCTAAAAGCTAACTGTTACCATTAGCAACTCAACATGGCAGAACTCCTTCAGGCTTGTGTTCATTGTGGAGATGAAACGTCAACATTACAACATAAATGGAGTCGGTGGTAGAGACATGTTGCTTTTAGCCAATCAGAGGTGAGATGTTTGAATATCAGGAAATAAGACCGTCATCTTCAGTGAACTCCGCTGCGGCTCACCTGTAGTTTCTGAAACAGGAGCACAAGAGCTTTTTTTTCTCAGAAATCAAGTCACAAGGCATTAATTTACACTACGAACCACCGCAAATGTGTTGAAAAGATGAATGGACTTGGTTTTTGACCTAAAATTAATTCATATATTCATAGTCTAAATTACCAAACCCATTCACCAACCAACCCCCTCGGTCTCTGGTACAACTACCTTTGGAAATCAAAGGCTGAATGTCTTCTGATGTGTTGAAACTCAACAAGAACTCATCATTTTTGCCCCGAAGACAAAGAGGAAGGTTGACGATATACTTCAAGATAGAAATTGGTGTGATAGTAAAATAAGTCTAAAAGAAATTGTCGGAGAAACATTCCTTCCTGACTGATGTAAAAACTAATCCATGCCTTAATTAGCTCTTTTATTGCCTAAAACTCTGTTGCCAAGCTTCTAAGCTTTGCAAGAGGAACGTTCTCGTCACCAATGAATCCCTGCCTAGCAGTGCTCCAATGGCCCTCTTGGACCTCCTTCACTCTTGCACTCCATCACCTAACCTTAAGTCCTTAACCTTAAGCTTTCCATTCCTCCCACCAGCATATTATACATATTATATACAGGAAGTAGGCGTACAGCGTTGCAACCCAAACCCTCTGGAGCGTTCTTTCTACTGACATCCATGATGCTTAATATCTTGAAATATTCCTTCGTCTTCTTCGTCTTCGTCTTCCTCCGCTTATCCGGGTCCGGGTCGCGGGGGCAGCATCCCAATTAGGGAGCTCCAGGCCGTCCTCTCCCCGGCCTTGTCCACCAGCTCCTCCGGCAGGACCCCAAGGCGTTCCCGGACCAGATTGGAGATGTAACCTCTCCAACGTGTCCTGGGTCGACCCGGGGGCCTTCTGCCGGCAGGACATGCCCGAAACACCTCCCCGGGAAGGCGTCCAGGAGGCATCCTGACCAGATGCCCAAACCACCTCAACTGGCTCCTTTCGATCCGGAGGAGCAGCGGTTCTACTCCGAGTCCCTCCCGAATGTCCGAGCTCCTCACCCTATCTCTAAGGCTGAGCCTCTAAGGCTGAGCCCGGCAGAAAACATTTCTAAATATTCCTAAAAATGCAACGGATTCATCACATTTTCTGACCTAACTTTGTTATTTTTCTCTGAGCTGCATCCTTGGCGTTCTTCAAAGATACATCGATCTCATCAGTATTATTGTTTTTGTGACTTTAAGTTTTCAGCAAAGAAGTTGCCTGAAAAAGTAAAAATTGCAAGTATCATCCTGATTCTGAAAACTTTCTGCCAAGACAGATTCATGCTGGCATAGAGAACCCCCTTGTCACAAACACACTCATAGCCAGGGACGTGTGAATAAATTCGTCTTTGCTTGCCTCTATTTCGTCTGGATTTGTCCAATTTGCTCTTGCTTGCTATACAGAAACATCTACAGATAAGTTGTGTGTGTGTGTGTGTGTGTGTGTGTGTGCGTGTGTGTGTGTGTTTTTCCCTCAGAGGCCCAAACACCTCAGAGAGATTACACAAGGCCAGATAACTACGGAGCAGTGCCAGAGTTGCTGCATTCCCGCCCTGCTGTTTGAGATTTTGGCACAGAAGGTTTCCCACATTGATAAATGCTCATGAACCTGTGCATTCTTTAGTGTGTGTGTGTGTGTGTGTGTGTGCGTGTGTGTTCTTCCTGTTGTTTCTCTGTTGTAAACAAAACACTCAGTCTATGAGAAAAAAAAAGATTGTTCAAATAAGCACAACCTGAAGAGACACATGGTCTTCCTTCCGGAATATCGTGGCAAAAAAAGCAGATAAGTCATGAGTCATGTTATGTCTCCATGTGGATCTGAATGTTCTGATGGATGACTTGCAATTTCCGTTATGGCAACAGGAATGGTATGTCACTGTGATAAGAAAATATTTTAAGATCCAAGACAGGAAAAGGTGAAAGTTACTTCATTTCTTTTTTTTTTTTTTTTTTTTTTTTTTAGTGTTGCTCAAAATGTCAGAGATTTTTAAAGTTGGCAGAAAAATGAAAAACCTTTTATGTTACACCAATACTTACAGGTGAACGTTTTGCTGTCCTGCCCTGATCTCTTGGCCGGTATTGCCTTGACGTGACATTTTGCTACAGACCAGAAATAATGTATGAATAATCTATTGAGCTAGAGCAGTGGTTGCCAACCTGGGGTCTGTGACTCCCCAAGGATGTCCCACAACAGTGTCTGTGCTAAGTTTGTGATGGTACCAAGATTATATTTGTAAAACTTCCTGTGTGAAATCCCCAAAACACACCCAATAGTATAAACAAAACTCTGTATGAGTTATACAGTGTGTCTGTATAACGTTTGTAATAAATAAGCTTTAATGTGTGTATGTGGGTAGGGGTTGGAGTTGGAGATCTGGCTTGGCTTGGACACAAGTAAGGAGGTCATCAAGGAACAAAGGTTAGGAACCACCGAAGTAGAGAGAGATGAAGAAGAGTATGAGAAGAATGTTAGAGAGAAGTTAGCAAAAACAATGTGATGTTTGAACAAATTGTTCTTGCTGATGTGTGTGTGTGTGTGTGTGTGTGTGTGTGTGTGTACTTGTTTTTATATGTTTAAGTGGACAACTTTGACTTTTAAAAAGACAATATGTAGTTTTTACGATTAATCTCTGGAAATATCCATCTAAACATTGTTGGAAATGAATAAAATGATGTCCAGTCCTTGAAAACTATTAGCGCCTTTGTACCATATAACCAAAAATAAATCAGGTCTTAAGCGTATAGGGAGCAGGTCTGGTGCCTTTAGAGGACACCATACTAGATAACATGTTTCCTTCGGGCTGGCTCGGGGTCCTGCGCCTGTGGATGACATCATACTAAATGATGGCTGGCTTGAACGTGGTAACTTCTGTAAGTTGTACATCCAGCCAATCATCTAGTGTGACATCATCGGCAGGCGCAGGACCCAAAGATTATCCGGAAACTACGGCACCAGAAAACCACAATCAGCATTGCATTCTCTCGATGGAATTAACTGAAGGACCATCGGAGTCTGAGGAGTCACGTCGAGGTTTCATGCTTTCTGCTCCACAGGTAACAACATTTATCGTAATGTTTTTTAAACTAGCGACAGTCATGGCAATATGGTGTTAAACTAACCTGAAATGCACCTACTGCCCCCTAGTGCCAGGAAACTACACATTGCCACTTTAACCTATAATCTGAGGACATTTGCTGATCTGTACAGTGCAAAAAAGTAATACTTGGTTTAAGAGTTATGGTTGTGAATTAAAAGTATACTTTTGCAAATTTTTTTGTTTTTTTTTAATCATTTTCTTGAGCCAGTATGTGCTAAAATGACCCTTTATAGGGTTAATGAAATGTCAGTCAGACCCGCACCGCCACCTGTGGCTAGAGTATTGCATGTGCAACTTCAGATTTAGCAGTCCAGTCTGTTGAACCTGGCACTGCAATCTGCCACCAGCACGTTTCCTGCATGTTTAAGAACATGAACACAGCTGATTTGTTTCATTTAGTGATTAATCAATCATATAGATGTGGCAAGGAAACAAGGGCCCGGGTGGGATTTGATCCTTAGACTCTCAGGTGAGAGCCACGCACACTAACCAGTCAGCCAAAGCGACATCCCCGTGGCCAAGTAGCCGGGGTGCATGATCGATCGGGATACAGTGACAGGACGTTCACCCTGTCACATAGCCACTAATGAAGGCTGAGGAGGCATTTCAGCACTTAGATTAAGGTGTTAAAAGACAAACGCACAGCGAGGAGATAAGTTTTGCTTTTGGTTCTACTAAACGGTCACTAGGGGGTGCTCAAAGCAAGCCAAAACTGCCTAAATCTTTTAGTTTAGGTTAGGATTAGGAATAGAACAGCATTGGTTATGGTTAAGGTTAGGGTATGGATTTAAGTATAGTGGAGCCTCTAAAATAAATGTAAATCAATGAAGACTCCACACACGACGATACAAATACAAGTGTATCTCACTTTAGTAGCATTGGCCCTGCGATCTCAAATAAGTTGTTCCAGCCTCCCGGAGGCAGCCCAGCGAGGC